TCTCTACATATATCAAAAAATCCTCCATAAAGAACCATAAATCCAATTAAACACGTCTCCAGACAGCATGTTACATTGTCAGAAGTAGTTGATAACAGAATAATCAAAACTTCCGTGATAGTAGACACTGTAGTCCCAGCGAGTTTGCGACTTGTACTTCCTGTTTCATACAGGCATGCGTGTGACATAATAACACTGCGTAGCCTGGCTGATTCACTCTAATAAAACGAAGAAAAAAAATCCTGTATCCACATCGTGATCCGCAACATCACCAAAATTGAATGGTATGTTCCTTGAGCCAGTGTAATAAAAAGTCCTTGAGCATGTGGTAATAAAAAGTCATGACACTCCGTCCACAGGTTTTTGAGTAATTTTGTCCACAGACAGAACGACAGATAGACAGACATACGCGACCGAATATATTACCTCCTCCCCTTGGCGGAGGTAATAAGGTCATTCCAAAGTGCAACTTGTTGGCTTTCAGGAACACTCAAAGAAATGAAGAGAAAACATTGTGGAAGTCAGTGAATGTTACTTTTATTGACCAAGCACAGGGGAAAAAMATRGAATCACTCARTTCTGAGGAAAAAAGTATGGATTCACTCAAATTGGAGGTAGAAAATAAGGACACACCCAGTAAATTTATTTTCCCTAAATGAACACCTGCCTCAGATTAGATCTGCTCGTTAGTCTGCAGTTAAAAACACCTGCAGTCATGACACCTTGGAGGGCTGCTGGATGAAGTGGAGTGGCAAGAACCACATGGCTCCAACAAGAGAAATGTCTCTTGAAACAAAAGAGAGGATTGTGAAACTTCTTGAAGAAGGTAACTCTTCAATCATGGTTGCTAAAGATGTGGGCTGTTCACAGTCAGCTRTATCCAAGATATGGAMCAAATACAAACAGCATGGAATGGTTKTTAAAGCCAAGCGTACTGGTAGACCGAGAAAGACATCAAAGCATCAAGACGAACAACTTAAGGCCATTTGTCTTGAAAACTGAAAAAGTACAACTAAACAGATGAAGCATAAATGGGAGGAAGCTGGAGCCAATGTATGTGACCGAACCATAAGAAATTGCCTAAAGGAAATGGGATTTCAATACAGGAAAGCTAAAACAAAACCATCATTGACACCTAAACAAAAAAGAACAAGACTGCAATGGGCTAAGGAGAGGCAATCATGGACTGTGGATGACTGGATGAAAGTTATCTTCAGTGATGAGTCAAGAATCTGCAYTGGACAAGGTGRTGATGCTGGAASTTTTGTTTGGTGMCGTTCCAGTGAGATTTATGAAGAGGACTGCCTGAAGAAAACAACCAMATTTCCACAGTCCTTGATGATATGRGGCTGCATGTCAGGCAAAGGCACTGGGGAGATGACTGTAGTTCATTCTTCTATCAATGCACAAGTTTACATTGACATGTTGGACAGTTTTCTCATCCCTTCAATTGAACAGATGTTTGGAGGTGATGAAATAATTTTCCAAGATGACAATGCATCGTGCCATAGGGCAAAAACAGTGAAGGCATTCCTTGGAGAAAGACACATTCTGTCGATGTCATGGCCTGCAAATAGTCCAGATCTCAACCCAACTGAAAACCTGTGGTGGAAATTGAAAAAAATGGTCCACAAGAAGGCTCCGACCTGCAAAGCTGATCTGGCAACTGCTATCAAAGGGAGTTGGCACCAAATTGATGAAGAATACTGTTTGTCACTCATCAAGCCCATGCCTCAGAGACTGCAAGCTGTTATAAAAGCCAAAGGTGGTGCAACTAAATACTAGTGATGTATTTTGAATGGTCTTTTGTTTATCTGTTTTTCATGATTCCATACTTTTTTCCTCAGAATTGAGTGATTCTATGTTTTTCCCCTGTGCTTGATCAATAAAAGTAACATTCACTGACTTCCACAATGTTTTCTCTTTATTTCTTTGAGTGTTCCTGAAAGCCAACAAGTTGCACTTTGGAATGACCTTATTATTGTATCATGTTTTTGATCTGAGTTTGTTTTACAGAATGAAATGTCTGAATAAGTGCTCATCCAAGACTGCTGATTCCATACTTTTTGCCAGGGGTTGTAGAATGAGTTTTGTTTTTTAAAAAAGAAAAGATTAAACTTTATAAACTAAACTATTTTATGTCTCAGAGCCTGTGTAAGACCAAAAAAGAAAACATAATTGTCACAAAAAAATCTGAATTGGAGTAATACATATATTTTTTGGGAAAATTATGGACTTTTTAAGGAAATGAAACAAGTAAACGTCCAAAGGGGCTGACGTGCACCTCAGAACAGAGGTGAAAGAGGAGCTTTTGGAGCATCAGGACAAATTCAGACCAAAGCTTTACTGTTCCTCTTTATATAATGTGTAATTCAACTGAACGATTTAAATGTGAAAAAGAGGCATTTAAATGCATGATATGTCTCCTTTAATGAAACGGGTTGCATTTATCACAAGTTCATATAATTTGTATAAATTTGGATTATGTACACTGATCTAAACAAACACAAGACTCAGAAGCACAAATCTACCACAGTAAAAATCCTTTCAGACTCACTGTGACACTTGTTCGTTCAGCCACATTTTGTAAATCAGCCATATTTTTGAACATATAGAAGTTGGTCAAATGTAAAGTTTCACTATTTATCTCTATCCATAACTCTTATGCAATTTTTTTCTTTTAAATGATGGACTTTTGGTTTGAAAGCTGATGCTTTTGCAGCCACAGATCGTTTGTTGTTTGTGTATTTGTGTATTTGTGTTCCACAAGAGGGCAGTAATGTCCCAAACATGAGTGTCCTGAGCCTCCAGAGTGGGTCATCAAGTTCACCAGCAGGTTTACAGCTAACTTAGAATTACCAGGCTTTTCTGTGTCCTTTTGACTCAAAATTGAGCTGTAATACTTTCACCTTTTGATATTATTTGACCAAAGTATGTATCAGCTACCTAAACTACTCAAAACCCCAAGAAACATAAAGTGCTTAGTTATATTTTTATGTATTTTTAGATGATATTTATTCCAGAACAACAGATGCAATTAAAAATACAATTAGGCAGAAAAGTGATTTTGCAGCTGGTGTGTGGCTGGTGCATGTGTGTGCGTGTGTGTGTGTGTGTTACCTTCTCGTTGCTGCTGGGGAATGATGGGTGGAGGATGGGGGAAGGCTTGGCTGATATGACCGTATGCAGCGGGATAGGCTGCTGAGACACACACACCCACAACACACACACACACGCCTCGGATCAGATAACAGTCATGACTACAGCACACACTCTGGATACATACATACAAACAACGTGATCTATGCAGGAGCACGGCGGCCGATCGATCAGATAACAGACAATAGAGTCGACGTGTTGCACAAACACACGCTGAGCGGAGCGGAGAGAGGAAACTGATGCAGCTGAAGCTTACACCGTCAAAATTCTCATTTGGACAAAAGATTGCTTATCGTTACCCTCCTCTTCCGTCACCCCCCCCCCCTTTATTTTTTATCATAAATTGTCTTCGTGCGAGACACAAACTCCCCATCCATGCATGTAAGCAGAAACACAGATGAGGTGTGCGGGGAAGAGTGACACACAGACCTGCGTACTGCTGGACTCCTGTGTAAGCCTGCTGGAGAGGATCAGCTGCAGTGGGACTTTGAGCTGCTTCAACACAGAAACACACAGGAGAAGAGGGAGGAGGAGGTGGTGCGAACGGACCGAGATGTGTTTGTGTGGTGGGGTAAAAAAAAGGTGAGGCAGAGCAATGGAAGGAGAATGGATATGGAAGAGAGGCGGAAGATGGAGGGGAGTGAAGGGTGCGGGGAGAAAAGGGAGGAGAGCGATGGAGAGGAGAACAGACGGGAGGAGAAAAAGCAGAAAAGGTTAGAGAGCTGGACCATGTGGAGGCAGCTCACTTTGCTTTTAGTGTGGCCCAGAACTTTTCAACTTAACGCTCCTCCAAAAGCTTTTCCAAAAAAAAAAAAAGGCCTCTTCTACAAAAGCAGAACTTTGACAGATGAAGGTCAAAACAAACAAAAACACACAAAAAACAACAACAACGCTTCACTTTCACAACAAGAAAACAAAAAACTGATATAAACTTGTCTATTACATAAAAAATCTTTAAATAGTTCCCACTCTTCACTCGTGCAACAGCACAATGTGCACAACACTGGACACATTTGTTACTTCACACATCACAGAGCTAAAATCTCCACTTTAAACGCCTCGACGATGGATTCTCCCACACAGCAGAGCGGCTCGTCTCTACACACGGAACATGCACATAAAAGACACCACTGGGAAAACACACACCAATAAGCCACGCACACACCAATAACCCCCGATATCTCTGAAGAAACCAAGAGCAAACTGAACACACTGTCGAGCCACAGCACTGGAATACAGTCACAGATGGCCAGAAGGAAGGAAGGAGAGGTAAAGACTAAAATAGACCTCCTATAAAAGTTACAGAGTGTGAAATCTTATTTTAGCTGAGTTTTTTTTCCAACCTGTGATACATTTTTGCCTGAGGCATGAGCTGAGGTTACTGACAGGTCAATATTTATGACTCTTAATCCTGAGTTCAAGCGAGCAAAGCCTGTAGATTCTGTAACTTGTGAAAACTTTTAGAAATAACGTCTATCCACTGATAGTTGTACCACTAACAGATTTTATTTTAATTAATTTAATATATCGCCTCTTCTTCAGAACAAAGCTTTACCTGTACAGTTCAGATCTCTTGAAGTGCGGTTCTCAGATTAAGTTATAAGCAACAATATCTGACCTGTTGCAAACAGCCTCAGCATGAAGACCAGGCAAATCCCACTGAGATCTTTTGCGAGGGCGGCCTGGGCCTGAAGGCAACCTATTGTTCATGTTTTTAGTCTGTGGGAACAAACCGGAGTGCCCTGAAGAAACCCAAGCAAGCACGAGGAGAACATGCAAACTCCGCACAGAAAGACCCCAGGTCCAAAGCAGGGATCAAACCCAGGACCTTGTTGCTGTGAGGCCTCAGTGCTAACCACTGATCCATCGTGCTGCTGGGTTGATTTGCTGGTGGCTAGTCCTCATGAAGCCAAGATTAAAGTGGATTAAATAGTCTTACAAATCGTTCACGGTACTCTGCATGAGCGCTTTCGTTAAAAATAATTCAAATAAACTTTTGTTTTATATTTCACCTTAGTTATGTAATATTGTATATGCCGTGTGCTGATATACACAGTTGTGCTAGCTGCTGCTGCTATTTGTGCTTGCAGAAAGCCATTGAAGTGACGTGATTTGTAATGTCATTATTGTAAGCACACACATGTGAGATACACACATGTGGAGCGGTGTGCTACGTAAGCGCCCGGGGAGCAGTTAGGGATTAGGTGTCTTGCTCAAGGACGATGCAAAATGTGGGCATGGTTGAAAAGCGAACCTGTGACTTTCTGGTTCAAACACAACTGTCCTACAGCTGCCTCACAGTCACGCCTGGCTACTGTGTCAGTGATGGCTAACAGCGGCGACAGGAGGTAGGTGTTCGACCTGAAACCGGTGGGTTGCCCACACGAACCCCCGCTTCATCCGTCTCAGTCATTGTAAATTTGGGCAGGACACTTCCCCCACTTTGCCTGCTGGTGGTGAGGGTCTGGTGTCTCCTGTGCATAGCAGCCTCACTGCTGTCAGTGTGCCCTAGGGCAGCTGTGGCTACAATGTAGCTTAGCACCATCAGTGTATGAATGAATGACTGTAAAGTGAAGTGCTTTGGAGTTCTTTCACTAGATAAAGCACTATATAAGTTCAGGCCATTTACCATAAACTAAACAATATTGTTAGAAATTTATGGCAATGTAACAGTAAGAAATGGATGAAAGTGTAAATAATCATACAAATAGCATTTACATGAATATGTATGAAACTGTAGTTGTTTTCAGACAACAGTGATCCACTTTGGACACATCATTGGTTTATCAAACTGAGGTTGTTTGAATGGCCATCTGCAACAGGTAAGATATTTATTTAAACTGTTTTAAGGAACCCTCCAAAGGTCTGAACTTTCGTTTAAAGCTTATTGTATTTTAGGTCTTGTTTATGTTAACTCTGCTGTGATCTTGTTGAGAAAAGTTCTAAACAGAATATAAATGATCAATAGTCAACCCTCCTGCTGCCCTTGGGCCAAACTAACCCACAAGGCCTTAAGAGGGTTAAGAGTATCTAGAAGTTTATTTAGAGGACTAAATCTAAAACACCAGTGGATGTTTTTAGTCCTGTGTTAAAATCTTTATAACACATTTAGAATTTAAAAATGCCTCATTTTAATGTTCTTCATAGGTTTAAAAAATGGTTACTCAACATCATCCCAAAGGTGCAGAATATTCCTGAGCCCAAAGAGAAATGCGATGAGTGTAGGTGAGGGGGGTCGGAAAAAGAGCGCTACCTTCAGAGAGAGAGGAGAGGAAGCAGCCACCCTGAACCCCAAAACAACTCCGCGGAGCCACGCCCAAGCCGTTTTTCTCTGAGTCCTCCCTAAAAACCACCTCCTGCAACACTGGGGAGACAAGAGTGTAGAGAGCAGACAGTTTTTTTTTTTCCACCTCTTGGAAACAGAACCATTGAGACACTTGCCATGGCTCATGACACAAGCGCATATTCAGGCTCCTGAGTGATGTTCTCAAGACGCTCCATCCTCCCAACATGCTCGCTGTTTGTGGGATGCAGGTTTTTGTCCTCGGTCCCCCTGAACATGCTTTAAACCCTGCAGCATGCACACTTTCCTCTAACAATGGAGATTTAGCCCCAAAATGTTATTGTTTTACATTTTTCTTTTTCTTTAATTTCCCAAGCTGCTTCTTTATGTTTGCGAACATGCTCCTGAATTGATCCAACTTACCGGGGTAATGATGTATCCCGTTGGTGAAAACAGCTTCTGCTGGTGGCTGCCCGTTGGCCTGGGGGGGCGGGAGGCCAGTAAAACCATTTACACTGATGGGGGAGGGGATGCTGGTCACCGTGGGGGCGCTGATGCCCGGGGGAGTGCTGCCTCCTGCAATCCCAAAGACAGAGAGACACACTGAGCAACCCTAACGTATGTGTTTTTCCCACAGGACATTATGGAAAAGTTTCGCCCCGACCAGCCCCCTATAGTCACTCTGCAAAAATGTCAGAGGGGCTGGTCCAGTGGGTCGGTGAAGACACTAAATGTCAGGGCTGATTTCTTTTCTCACACAGGCCTTCAGGGAAACACAATTATTAGATCTGAGTCTTGGATGTTATCCTGTATAACAGTAAAAACTGTGCTCATGCCAAACAAATCATATACATTTATTCCCCAATTCATTGTTTACTTGGCTCCATCACTCTGTCCAGAATCAATCGCAGCAGAGATTGATATTTACATTCTAGATCAAATCCAACTTCTTTTTTTCCTTACTGCAATATTTTTAAGCTAAACTAGCTTTTTGAAAACCATATTACTGTATATATTTATTGATATTTCATTTTTTGTTATTTTTGTTTTTATTTAATTACGGATTAAAACTAAAATGTTTTATCTTCATTCTCTCTTGTTTTTTTCTTCTCCATTTTATTTTTCAATGTTCTTTCATGCTCTTGTTCCTATCAGCTATGGTTTTGCTGCCGTYTTCATTAAGGTGAAACAAAGAAACAAAAATAGCATCATCTTGTAATCTTACGGAGTGTGTCCAGTGACATTAGATTAAAATAAATATCTTGTGGCAGATAATTATGTCATTGCCACACGTTATTTTATCCTGTGGCCACGCAAAACTAATGCATGGCCATGAGATAAATAGCCTGAGCGTAGGCCCCAAACTGCAGGGCCATAGGTTGAAGATGCCCATCTGACTGGCTGTCTGCTTCATGAATACATACTTCAGTCAGGCATGGAACAGTTAAAAACAAAAACAACTTATTAAAAAAACTAACAATGTTTGTATCTTTCAGAAAAAGACATGCTGCTCAAAATTATCTTGTGGCCATGCATTATTATTGTGTGGCCACATGTTATTATTGTGTGGCCATGTGTTATTATTGTGTGGCCATGTGTTATTATTGTGTGGCCACATGTTATTATTGTGTGGCCATGTGTTATTATTGTGCGGCCACATGCTATTATTGTGTGGCCATGCATTATTATTGTGTGGCAACATGTTATTATTGTGCGGCCACATGCAATTATTGTGTGGCCATGCATTATTATTGTGTGGCAACATGTTATTATTGTGCGGCCACATGCAATTATTGTGTGGCCATGCATTATTATTGTGTGGCAACATGTTATTATTGTGCGGCCA